TAAAGTGCTTTCCCTATGCTGAATTGTGTGAGAATTTTAAGTTGCAAGAGGAGTGAACTTATCTGCTTCCTTTTTTCTTTATTAACATTTCTGGCTGAAGATTGATCTTTATATTATATATTCTGTGGCTCCTAGGACTAATTTCAAATTAGTCATATATAACAGGTGTATTTCTGCTGCAGGTCTAATTCAAAGAGAGCATGCCTTGCACATGCGTGGTTAACAGGTTGACCAGAAAAGCTGTGGGCTCTGTGAATCACAGAATGGTTGAGGTCGGAAGGCACCTCTGGAAATCATTTAGTCTCATAGCAGGATCAGTCAGAATAGTTTGTCCAGGAGAACGTCCAGTCAGGTTTGAATAGCTTCAAGGATGAAATGGGACAGAATTTCAAAACTAAGCTTGACAATGGCCTGAGCATCCCCATATAAGTTCAAATGCTTTGCTTTGAGTGCAGAGGGTGGGGAGTGGGAGGGGTGAGGGAGGACCTTCAGAGGTCCTTCCAACCTAAGCTTTTCTATCATACTGTGTGTACAGAGAGGTCTAGTATTGACTTCTAGAATACATGCTGTAGGTGTCTGAACTGCAAATCCCGTTTCTCTGGACTTCTCCTTGCTGAAGTGACTGGATATCGCAAAAAGAATTCCTCTACAGAATTAACCTACTGCATATTATATGACTCTTGCCCTGTGCTTCCCTGCAAGAGAAAGAAGTAGCCAGAGAGGAATTCTCTCTCCTCATCTGAGTCATGCAACTCTTCGTTCCAAAACTGCAGACAGTAATTAGGTCTGATTTGATGCATGATCTCACTGTTGGTGCTGGATGCTCTGTACAAATGCTTCTCCTTCAGTGAACTATCAATGACAATGGCATTATCAATATTCGCTCTGAGCATCCTCCAAGGAAAGCTAATGAAGCACTCTCCACGAGCAACTTATGTCCTTTGCCTTCTCTCAAGGAAGACTCAGCCTCTGAGAGCCATCATGAAGTACGTCATGTGGAAGTTGGGCAACTTGCCTGCAGCTTATTGCCTTTACTCAGATTTGATCTCTTTCCCCTACCAAAATGTCAAAGGCATTTTCCTCAGGGGACAGTGCACACGTCATCATGCAAAGCAAAGAAACAGCTCATCCTAAACAAAAAACATGGGTGAGGGAGGTAAATGTGAATTGCACTTTGAAAACTTGGAAACTGAGTTGCAAGAAACTGTTTTAATTTTTATCACAACTACTCTTTTGTGGGAAAACTTTAAGTTCTTCTTTATACTGATAGACTTTCAACCGCTTCAGTTTAAAATAACAGGGCAGCAGCAGTCCAGATAAATTACTGAGCAAACTCTGAATAGTAAGTATATTTTACCTGTCATAAAATATTATCCTTAATTAACAGAAGAAACAACTATTCTTGGTTTAAAACAGTGGCTCATGAAGAATAAATTGCTAATGAAGTCAAGAACGCTTTTTTTAAAAAAAAGACACAAAAACTCCAACCAAAAACACCCCCCAAAACTATCCACCTTCTGAATTAAAATAGTAAGGATGAAATCTAATCTATAATACAAAAGCTTTTTTCCCCGTTTTAAAGTGCTTTATGATAGGTAGGCACGAGTTGTTATTTTAGTCAAGTATTGTGACAGTTGGCAGGAATTTCAGAGATGATGATGTGATTTAGGAGTAGCATTTGTATGAGGGACTTTTGCCTAGGATATAACTTTTGGAGTACCTTTCTGGCTTGGATTTAGTTTGCTTGAAGAGACATGTGCAGTAGAATGTTTTTGTATTGACACTAATTTGCAGACGAGCTTATCACTATATAAATGTCCAGCTCTTCCTTGAATTTTACTAGAATTTTTAACTTAACATCTTGTTTTGATGAGTTATATGTATTGGCTGGTGTGAGAGAAAATATATTTGTAGTGTTACTTATTTCCCCGCTAGGGTCTAGCAGATCATTTAGGGGGTCTGGGGTTTTTGCTTCACTGTTCACTGTCACTGCTGATTTAGCAGATATCTGTCCTCATTAACACTGAAGAACTTTAAGTTAAAATTTCTCATTTTAGCTAATTATTCAGCTTTGTAACATGATTATTAGATCCATTTTGCATACTGAAATAGCTGCCTTGAGAGAGATCATATGTGTGGTACGTTGTTTTTCCTGCCACTAGCTTGCATTGTCTTATGTATGCTCTGCACTTTAGAGTGTACTGAAAATAGCCTGTTGGGAGACTCGGAGGATCAAAGGTAAAAACTAACCATAACTTAGGCACTTGCTGTTAACTTCCTTTTTTGAAGATGCTTCTTCTGTCCACTGTGTGTGAACTGTAATGTGGTGCATGTGGCATATGTTCTGTATAACCAAATAGCATATATGGTGCATTTGGGTATGCACAGTAGCATTTCTATCTTAGAAATTTCTCTCAAAGTTATGTAAGGTCTCTGAGAGTTTCTGATCTAGGTTTTCTTGTTCTGTGGTGGGCTGAAGGTGCATAGGTGAGTATCTGTGCGTAACTGAACACGTACCTCTGTGTAAATGAAGACGGCAGGTCCATAAAATATCTGGAGATATTTTATTTTGCTACGGAATTGGCAAGTGGTCTAAAAATTCTCTAATACAGGACCACAGCTGCCAAAACATTGCTCCTTTGTCATATAGTTTCCACCAGTTTGGGGGAAAATAAACCCTCTTGATTTTTGGCCCTGCTGGGCTGGCACACTGTAGTCTGGGTATATTCTCCAAGTGAAGCCTGACAAACTGGTCCTTAATTCCCCTGTCCTCTTAGCACTACAGAATTAGCAAAGTGAAGCTTCACACTGTTTGACATGAAGGAAAGTAAGTCTGGCATGACTAGAGCTTGGAAATATAGCACATTGATATCTTATGGGAATCAGATTCTGGATAATGTAGCCACAAACAGAGGAGCAGAGACCAGATCTTGAAATAAGGTTTCTTCCACAAAAAAGGTAATGGAACTAACTATGTAACTACAGTTTATTTTTAAAACTGAAAGTATGAGAGCAGACGGTATAAGGAAAGAGAAGAACGCTTCTGCAGCAAGAATGGAACTTTCTCTTTGCCTTTCTCCCACTCTCCCAAGGTATCCCAAATAATCTATTCAATCCTAATAAGAAATTATGATCTGGACAAAAGCTGAATAAAAACTTCATCTTTTTCTGGTCAGCACACTGTACAGGAAGGAGTGCAAAGCAGCCTTGCTGAAAGGCATAGGCTGTGAGTCAGTGACTGTCCATACTTACACTCTTGTTTCATCAGCTATGGAGCAAGCTGCAAACTTGGGCTTATTTTCTTCAGAGATGCATTTCTGCTTCTGCAACACTGCTGCACTTGGAATCAGTAAAAGTTTCCAATTTAGGCTTCTTTGTTGCAGAGAAATCTGTCATGAGGCATTTTCAAGGCAAAGTACTGGGTTTTTAGAGACCTTCCAATAATCCAGGGTAGTCCAAATCAGCTCTGATTCTAGACATAGTGCACCGATCCTTTCCTTCCTGGTGTGGGGTGTGTGAAGGGAGAGAAAAAGAACTGGTAGAGGTGAATACATTTTCCTATTTGGTTTTCTGAATAGGGCTAGATTAAGTTTTGAGTGGCTGTACGTTTTAACAGTTAGCAGTGTGCCTCGACCGGTGATGGGTACCTCATTTTTTCAGCCTATGTTTCAAAGAAAAGGAACCTCCTCCGCTCACGCTGGCCCTGTCCCCCGGGTTTGGGGAGCGATAACAAGTTGTGCCCCGGAAGGTGGCGCTGAGGAACC